TAAAATGCAGAGTCTTGATTTAGTTAAGGAAGTCAGACTTAAGAGCCATCTCTCTCTTAGGGAAGTACTTCTCTCTTCACTTCAAGCAACACAACTGTATTTCACAAAAGTTTCTGAGGGGCAGCAGAATCCACAGAGGGCAATTTAAGCAACATTTTAAACACGAATCCTTGCAGTCTAAAATGGAGCAGTGGAAATAGACACATTATCATTATCCTGAAGTCAGTTTCCACTTGGCTCCCCAGCTCTTATCCTTTTTCACATACAAGAGAGTTATATTACTTAGAAAATATATTTGGAAAGTCACAACTTACAGTGAACCTTGGCAATTAATCACTTTAACATGCTGTGCATGCAACAAATAAGTTCAGTACTCCATTAATATGTATCCCAAAATTCCTAGAATACATAAAAATAAAGCTTGCTAATCTTAAGATTTCGTGTTTTTAGCAATATGTGGTTACACATGTAGTTCCGCTAAGAATTCTGCATAAAATATCCTTTTCAAATGATAGCAAAGTACAATGCATATTTCAGGCCTTCAATATTATATCGGTATATAAGGTCTATATATCATATTCAGCATGCTATCCATTAGATGATATGGGCAAATCATCACACTAAATTCATCTGTGTAGCTAGAAAAAAAAGAAGTCAGCAATTTTAACACTCAGTTTGACCTATATACAGCATGTGAAGAACTTATAACAAATGCCAACCATCAAAGCACAACTAATTTATCATCACACACCATTCTTCCAAAGTTACAAAGTTCTAACATTTTTGACTTATGATTAAAATTATAGACAAAGTGTATCTGCACATTCAGTCTAGTTTTTGCCTTAAATTTTAAAAAACAGTGTCCCCTGACATATACTCTTTGAAGAACTGGACAGCAATCAAGAAGAGCATACAACAGGAATGCTTGGTTTATCACAGTATTCTACAATGATGACAGTATTGTAGATAATAATATATCATTTATATTATATAAACTCTATAATACTGGTCTAAATGCTCTCTATTCAAACTTTTCCCAACTAAGCCAGCAACTGGCCAGACCCATCCCTTAGCTTGTTTTAAGGAAAAGTCGCCCATCTTTAGAAACAAAGACTTTTTTCCACAAATGCCCAATAGCAGGTGCACCATCACACAAAACTAGACAAAAGACAGCCAGCTCAGTTCACCTCACTCTTAAACATGACCATTTGTCAGAGCTTATAGTGTAACTTCTAAAATCAGCACATTGTTTAAAAGTTGAGAGAAAGTTTATGTTTACTAGTACTTTCTTATCAATTGGCCTTTGACAGACACTTCATAAAATGCATTATGAAGGACTTGACAGATATTCTCATACCTATTATCAGCAAACTTTACAACAGACATCATGTGAACCAAGACTTACTGATTTAAAACACACATCCATGAGCATGCTTTTAGCTGCAGATTGGATGCACCAAAGAACACAGAATATGGCTAATTAGCACCAGGAGAAGAGTCTGCCTTCACCTCCCCTCAGTATCAACCACTTTGCTTAAGTTCACTCTTTGCCTCACCCTAACCCTAGGGATCCATTCACTTTCCATAGCCCAGAGAGGCTGCTGAAAAGCTGTCAAAGTAAATCTGTGCTCACTTTTTGGATGGTTTAATTTCAATGGAGCATGAAACACCCCAGGACGGTTAATAAGTTTAGCCAGGCGTGCTGTTCTCCCTAATATATTTTAATTATGCATCTGTTTTAATTGTAATCAGATTAAGTCACCGGAAAGGCACAAATTGGAATTTTCCCTAATGGCTATTGGAGCTTTTCATCAGCTTCTAAACACTAACAAAGTTTAAAAAATAGGTAGAGACACCAGCACAACTGTGACATTTTCCAGGAATCAATGCAGTTTCTTTGACAACACAGTTCGGGTCTCATTAGCCACCTAAATGCAGAAGACAACTTCAGTCTCTAGGGGCGTCTTCTTCCCCAATTAGCAGAAGAGAATCACTAATGCCTAATGCAAAACGCCCAAACAGAAATGGAAGCCAAGGCTTTTATAAAGTGCTGCCCAATCGATTGGTGAAGTAGGCTGGGGAGCGGGAGATACAATCAGCAGCATTATCTTCGCCCAAACTACCGCACACGTCAAAAGAGAAAAGTTGAAGCAGAGTACGATCTCTCTTTTCACTATTTTGGCAACTGTCAAACGTGCGTTTTAACTTCGAAAAATAAAAGTGTCCTATCAATAAAAGGAAATGATAAAGTAAGATCTATTAGGGCGCGCGGGGGGGGGCTGCTTCCTTCCAGCCCAAATGTTAAAAAAATGCTTAATGGGCTTTTGTTGCACCAAGGAATACCTAAGACTTTTGTTTTGTTTTTTTAACACGTTCATTAAACAGTTTCCCAAATTGCCGGGATTTCCGCTAAGAAACTTAAGCGTCTGCCAACAGGCGAGAAGCGAGAGAGAGAACCTGCTGCAAACTAGGAGCGGAAACTCCCTCAGCCCGCCCAGCGCGCTCGCGTACCGGGTGTTTGCTTGAGGTGTTAATGTTTACATGTCGCCTAAACCTTGAGGTGCGGAACCAGTTCCTCCAAGAAGCCCTTCAGCCTTAAAGCAGGAGGCTCCAGGGCCACTCAGCCACCGTCCCTTCCTCTCGCCCCCTTACCTGTCATCATAGCAGAAATCCGCACTCAGAGTGTTGAGATACAAGGCGAGCCCCAGAGCGCTGCTCACCAACTCTGCAATCATCTCTCCACCGCCTTCCCTCCGGCTCGGCTCCCAACGATAGGGCAGCAGCGGCAACAAAAAACAGAAGCATCAATCCCCACCTTCCGCCGCCTTCTCCTCCCAGCTTCACTTTTCCCTCGCTTCCCCACCCTCCCGCCTCTCCCTCCCTCGGGTCCTTCCAATCCACGGCTCCTCTCCTTCGCCTCCTCCTCGCGCCTGTCTCCGCAGCTCCTGCTTCCTCCCGGGTGCGGGCTTACACCGCTCTCCCCATGCCCGGCGCCCGCGAACGGCGAGCGGCGTTAGGGCTCCGCGCCCCCCGGTGGATGCACAGGGCTGGTCCTTCGCGCAGCTTGCGGCCCCCACCCTAACCCATGGCAGTTTGGGGCGCCCTAGGTGCGGAGTGGGACTCGGAGGAGGTGGAAGAGTGCGGGATGGGGGCAGAGGGACCGGACCGAGCCGGGCTCTGGGACCAGCTGGAGGAAGAGAGAGAAAGAGGGGCGGGTGGGAGGGACGAGGCGATCCGCCTCCCTTCGCCGCCTCCCGGGCGCACTGCTCCGGTGTCGCTGGGACTGACTCCGGCCGCCACAGCGGCTGCAGCACATTCACTCTTTATTGGCTCCCTCCCAGCCCCAGCCTCTTCTCCAGTGAAGTGAGAAGCGGTGGCTGGGGACTCCAGAAGCTCCCGCGTGGGGTTCTCAACGCGGCCCCCGGCGCCTGCGTGGCCAACCCTCCATCCCGGGTTTGCCCAGCCCCTTTCCCCACCCAGATCTTCCGCGAAAGCTCCTCCTACCTACCCCCCGACTGGCTGGAGACTCCTCCCACCCGTGGCAAAGCTGGAGGCCCCTCCTACCCACCTCCCGCCCTCCTCTTGTTTCTTTCACCTTCGATTTCTGTCTGGAAAGCCCCCGGGACGAGGACGAGCGCTGGAAGACTGCCCAAAGGAGTAGCTGAAGCGCGCCCTGGGAGGGGGAGCTCGAGGAGAAAGGAGACCGGAGGAGGTGGTCGCTCGCTCAGCTGCTGCCTGGCGGCGCCTAGCACCGACTTGATCCCAAACCCTGCGTTATGTGTGCCAAGCGCTGCCAGGCGAAAGTGTGGTCAGTTGGACAGACTTCTGGGGACCCGAGAGGAAGAACAGGTTTGGCCAGTGCTGCAGCCTTGGTTGCCACAAACATACTCGCTATCTTTCAGACACGCACCCGATGCGTGAACCGAAATGGGGAGAAAGAACATATTGGAGAGTTGGGAGGCATCTTGGGAGCGACAGATTTCAGCTCTGAACCTAGCCTACCACTGACCCCAGTGTCAGGGGAATTGTATTGGGGGAATTGTATTGGGAGAGAAACGTCCCCTCATTGAGCTTAAAAAGAAAGAATTCCAAAAAAGAGAAAAGAATCGCATACATATACACCAGAGCGATTAAGGGTAGGGTGCCTTGGTGATTTCAGGACTGCCAGGCTGACCCTGAGAACACAGAAGAGGCTTGCCACTAGTGCAACCCCGTACCGCGCTATCCTTGAACCTAGCAAAGCGGAACGCTAATGCCCTTTCCTTTCCGCCCGGATGCAGTACTGGATGGAAGGCATCCAACATGATGAAATATGGTGTAGAAGAATGGCCCGGGTAGAACGAGCTCTGGGTACTAAAGTTACAAGCCCAAAAAGGACTGCGGGCTGTCTGCCACACCTCCTTCGGCTTCTGTCCCTTTTCCTGCTGGACTAGTGGCTCACTTTGACCATGATGAACACTACTGCAGCGCCCCCTGCTGCATGGCACCCACAAGGCTTGGAAAAGAAGTGTGTTTTCCACTTAAGCTGACTTGCCTGCACTGAGAGACCTGCACCCAACCAGCAAGCTCTCCACAAGTGTTGCCAAAAATTGAACCCCCTGGATATCTGGCAGTGACCTGAAGAGTTTGGGTGCCTTCCAAACAAAGCTGCATCTTTTCCTGATTTTACAAGAAAATCTGCAAAACCTGTTGTAGACACAGATGAAATGATAAATATTTATTATCTGCAACAAGCAAATGTTGTGCCCTGGGAAAAATGTAAACATAGATTTAAAAGGAATTACATCATTAAAGACAATAATTGACTTTGTTAGGGGGATACTAGAGATTGAGCACAGGAGCACTTTTCCACTGAGCCACACTCCCAGTCCTTTTTATTTTTGAAACAGTCTGGCTAAATTGTAGAGGCTGGCCTGGAACTTGAAATCCTCCTGCCTCGGCCTTCACCGTGGAGACGCTGGGATTACAGGCATGTCACCAGGCTCACTCTGGCAATGACTGATCTTTTATCCTTTTTCCCCATGATCTCTGCTCATTGTTGAAAAGTTTTTAAATCATATCAGTCCTTCCATCAAAGTCCTTTGTGTCTTTGTGTTGGTCTTATACGTTCATGTTGTATCCTAGGACACTGGAGGAAGAAAGAGAATGCATACTCAGGATCAGATGCCTGTGTTTGAGTCCTTACTCTGCTACTATTAGTGTGACTTTTGATCAGTCACTTAATCTTTTTATTCCTCAGTTTTATCATCTGTAAGACAATGACAATAATAGCACCTACTTTATGGGTACTGTTATTATGATTAGAGCAGTTATACTGAAAAGCACCAGAAGAGTCCTGGGAAGTGCAATAAGACGTTAGCTATTATTAGTATGAGCTCCCACTTCTTCTTTCACTTTTTATCTAAACTCTGGATGTTTATCTCCAAAACATATCAATCCACATTGCCTTGATCCTAGTCCAAGCTACCCTCATGGCTTTCTTAGACCAATAGTGACCTTCTAAGTGGTCTCCTTATTCCATTCCTGCAACTTCTCCTTCTCCCCAGTCTTAACTTCAGGTATTAGAAAGAAAGTTTTGAAAAATACAATCACCCTATTTTAAAAGAATCAGTGGCTTCCTATTACACATTGAAGGAAGCTCTGATTCTTACTTATCTGGATCTGACTGCCTCTCCCCTTTCACATTGTGCTCACATGTGCACAACACATACATTCTCACGAACCTACCAGTTTCTCATTTTTTTTACGTGGAATGATTTCCCCCCGACTTTCTCAGCCATTGCCTCAGGAAGTCTTTCCTAGTCTAATCTATATAAATAGCCTCCCATCATTCTGTATTATTTTGGTATACATTAGTATTTGAAGCTACCATTTCCAATGGAATCTTCATAAGGGTAAGGAATTTACCAGTTTTGTTTTTCACATAATACCCAGAGCCTATAACATCTGGACATGTAGACAACACACATTAAAAAAAAAGTTGACAACAAATAAACAAATAAATATACTTAAGGAAACTATAAAATAACTGAAAACCCACAAATCCATTATGAGAGAATAAACCGATGGGTTGTCATTGTTAAAGATGATGAAACATTAACAAAGACAAGAGGGAAGAAGTAGGTTAAAAATTCTTCACAGTGCATCAACTCTGCAGGAAGACCTGTGTTGGAATGTCACAGATGGACAGCTCTCTTCAATAATTAAGAAGACTTAGAGGCATAAAAGGTACTAGAGAACTTTGGATTCAGCCTGCTAAAAGCTTGTAAGCATTTTCCAGAGCTGTCTCCATTTTCAACTCTCCACTAGTTTTAAATATTTATTTCTACCTTCCTCCATTTCCTCCTTTTCTCCCTCCACCCACCACTCCTCTAAATTGGAAGCCTAGGGGACAGTGAGATATGCCAGTAACGTGTTGCACCTTTCCATCCCTGACAAATGGAAGGCTGCAAATCTAGCTGTGATTGAGAAATACAGTTGCTTTTAACAAAATTTCTATTATAATTTAACGTGGGTCTTAATATCCTTCCAGTGCATTAATCTCTTTCAGATTGCTCTCCAAGGGCTGAGAAGCAGCCAATTCCTGCATTTTCTACCTTCCTCCAACAACTGCAGGAAGGAAATCGGATTAAAGATGTCATCACATCCTTGAAGATCATTTCAAATCTGGGGACATAGGTTTTTTAGTTTATTAAGGTGTACTTATCCAATGTGAGATTGCTGCCTCAGTTCTGAATTTATATATGGTCTATTTAAAGCTACTGTTGCTCTCTACAGATGAAGGAAATTAGGCTGGTTGGCTTGAGTTTTCTACCTTAGACACAAGATTGGCCAAAAAAGTGCTAAGCCCTTATTTTCTCAAGTAGGTTCCACACATCTGCTACCTCACCACTTCCTCAATGAATTCGTTTTTATAGTCGCCTGGACCTACCCTGCATTTGTTCTGCATTCCCAGGCCTTTGTTGTATAATTCATACCTTTGCAGTGCCAGTTCCTCAGGGTAAAGATTTCCTTATTTGCCTAAGACATTTTTAGTTTATTGTGCAATACCATCTTCCCTTTGGGTGTTGCATAAATATTAACTAAAAATCCACATCTGGTGTTGGTCGTCATTTCTATTTGTCCTAATATAACTTCTCTTTGAACAATTCATTTGGAAAGTGTGCCAAGGGTGAAATGTGGCACATAAATTCTCGTGTGCTGCACAGAATGCTTTTTAAAATGCCCACAGATTTGGCTATTTATGAACAGAAGATTTGCACCTCTTTCTTTACTCTTTCAATTCTAAAATTGTAGCAGGCCAAAGTAATTACAGTCTCCCCTATGTTTTCTGAAGAGGTATCCAGGAATCTCCTGCTAAAATCTTAACAGATTGACTAGGTAGCAGAAAAACACTAGCCCAGCAGGTGAAACTGCATGTTTAGGGAGGTCAGAACAGAGCTCTCTGCTAGGGGACTCATAAGCTCTAGGCTCTGCTCAGGAAATAACCCTGCAGGAGAAAAACAGCAGAGCGTGGATGAAATGTGGGTCAGGGAGCTGAAAGAGGCACATGGGCTGCTTGGTTAACTAATGACAGTAAAAGCACTGGCTGCACATGTTACATTTCGATGTTTCCCAGCATACCATAAAGTGCTGCCCTGAAGACACTACAGCATATAACATTGCTTTATCCCAGGACTTGTGATCCATTAGGAATATAATTAGGACAATGCAGCCATAGAAACAGATCCTGTCACCTCTGTCACAAAACGGGGGCTGTTAAGAACCAGCTGCTACCAAAATAATGATCACTTTAAGAATCTCACAGTTTCCCTAGCTTCCAATTCAGAGGATGTGGGGGTCGGGTAGGAGGAGAAGAGGAGGAGGAGTGTAGAAATAACATGTTAATAACCAGATATAGATAATTGCAGAGATGTTGAAGCTAATGATAGAATTCAGAAATTCAAGAAAACCAAGGACAGCCTCCTTCATAGAATCTCTCCGAATGCATTCACATGCACCGGTATAAACAGTGATCAAAAATATTCTAACAGCTTGGAAAATTGCACAGAATCTTGGGTAACAGAATTTTGATAAGACTTAGATTCTGGAGATAAAAAGGAGGGAAAATTAATTTGCATGTGAACATTACTTTAAATCAACCAGTTACTCATGAATTTTGCCTTGTTCAGTTCAATATGGACCTTTTAAGCTAGCATTTCCCAATAGATCTTTCTGCAAAGGAGGTTTTACATCTGTGTTGTCCAATATTGTAGCCATCACATGTGGCTTTTGAGCTGAGGAAATGTGCCTCTTGCAACTGAGGAACTGCAGTTTTAGTTTTATTTAATGACAATTAACTTAGTGACATAGGACTAGTGGCTCCTAAATTAAATAACACAGTGAGGGCTTCCCAGAAGATCCCTCTGTGTGCCTTAAGGTGGATTTCATGTGAAAGCGAGTTGTCAACATCCTCCCACTATCCAAGCTTTAGTCCTGAATCATTTCCTCTTCCGGCTCTGCTCCCACATGTAACCTGTTTTTATTTATAAAATAGCTGCCAGCTATTGAGTACTTTTATGTGTTAGTCATTGTACTGGGTACCTTATTTATTATCTCACTTAATCCTAGGGAGATAGATACCATTACTATCCTTATTTTACCGAGAAGCAAATAGAGGTACAGAGGAGTCTGGTAAATTGTCCATAATCTTATAGCTTTAAGTGGTAGATTTAACATTTGAACTTATATCTTTTAATTCCAAAAATTATGCTTTAACCACTACTCAGTACAATATAGTCTTGTTACTCATCCTCCCATTTAAATGGCCACATCCCCTTTAGGACTTACTTCAAGGGAAGAAATTCCTGACTACAGCAAAGATTCTCTGAATACATTCATATTCTGCCTATCCTATCATACCTCAGATCATTTTGGATGAAATATGTGGAACTTATTTTTTTAAACTATTTTTTCCAATATTATATGTCAACTTGCAAAAATTATGCTCTAATTTACAGTAGAATCTATCCCTGACAAAATACATACACACACTCATGTATTATTAATAATAAATGTATTCAAATTACTCATTACATTTTTCTAGCATAATCCATACTATCTATTAGAAAAATATATTCCAACATAATAATGAAAGTATCAATGTAAATTACAAATTGGAAAGTCAAACAAAGGATTTATAAAAGTCAATATTTTGCTTAAAAAAAACACTATAAATTTGAACCTGCAACGTGTTTTCATGTGAGCTTTAGTTTAACCAGTTATTCATGAAGTTAGCTTTGATGTTCATCCAACATGGACCTTTTAAGCCAGCATTTTTCAATAGAACTTTCCATTTATTATTCTTATGAAATGACTAGAAAGTCAATTTGCAGTTGGCCTATTAATCTTCTAATAAATAACAGAAGGTCAATACACTTAAAACTTTTTCAGTAGATTAATACAGTTACCCATTTGGAAAAAAAAACTAAGTATTTTGTAATTTGGAATACTGTTACTTTATTTAATGATTACAAGTGAATTACATATTTATACATTTACTTATAGATTCACACCACCCTATATTTTTCTTCCCAAATGTTTTCTTTTTACCTTTTTTGTCCTGTTCAGTATACTCTTTCATTTTGCAAAGCTCACCCCTATAAAAGCTGTGAAGATGTGCCCCAAGCTATGCATGCTAATGAAATAGATCATGTGCAATAATGAACTGAACACTAAGACATTTATTTTCTTGGCAGTCAGTTTGAGAGACTCAGTTGCTGGGTTGGGATGACAAATTAGGAAGATGACATTGAATTACAGTTCCAAGCTAAGTACCACTAGAGAACCTGGGTCAAGGAGCTCTCATCCCTACTCAACATTTTCCCTAAAGTTAATCACAGAGCTAGGCTCACAGGTTATGATCCATTGCCAATAATAATTTGGCACCACGTCTCCTGATTTACAGTGTAAACAAGGGACACAACCAACTACTTATCTAGGGAGTTTCTGTTGTTGTTACTATAGATGATTTGCATTTTCCAGAAGTTAACTTAAATAAGCCTGTGTGCTCTCCTTTGTTCTTTTTCATGCTTGGCTTTGCTCTACATCATTATTTTGAGATTCATCCATGTTTTGTGCATATTAATA